TAACCTGGTAATCCTGAGTAAAGAGCCTCACTAGTTTAATGTCTCCAAATCAAATACTTTCAGTTTTCAGATATACGGGTAAGAAGTTAGTAACAGTAAGCTAAGAAGATTTAACCATCTATATTCTGACTTTAAAGAAAAAGCTTTTATTTTAATTCCACACTTGAACTCTGAGTTTTGCAGTAACAGGTTCCTTCAAATCCCAAGGCTTTCTTCATCTCTGTGGGGGCTGAAAGACTCTCTTTCATCACTATTTCTGTCTCTAGGCACATAAATACTTATCTCTTTCCATGCTCTACAACTTGTTAAAATTTTTGTTTGCTTCTATCTTCTCTTCTATATTTTAACCATATGAACTGACACTTTGAACACATGACATTATTGACATTTACGTTTTGAGAAATGATCCTTTTCTGGATTTTTATATTTAAAACTAGAAAATTCATGTCTTCCAAAATTTCATGTCTTCCTCACATGCAAAATACACTCATTCCATCCCAATAGCCATAAATAAGCATTAACTTATTCTAGCATCAACTCAAAAGTTTGAAGTCTAACATCTCATCTAAATATGATTTAAATTAAATGAGTGAAATTCACAGTACAATAGATTTTGAAGCAAACTGATCTCCAGCTGTGAACCTGTAAAAACAAACACATTATGTGCTTCAAAAATACGATGGTGGGAGGGATATACGACAGACATTCCCATTCCAAAAGGAAGAAATAGAGAAGTAAGGGGTAACATGTCCCAATTAACTCCCAACACAACAGAGTAAACAACATTAAATCTTTTTTTTTTTTTTGAGACGGAGTTTCGCTCTTGTTACCCAGGCTGGAGTGCAATGGCTTGATCTCGGCTCACCACAACCTCCGCCTCCTGGGTTCAGGCAATTCTCCTGTCTCAGCCTCCTGAGTAGCTGGGATTACAGGCACGCGCCACCATGCCCAGCTAATTTTTTGTATTTTTAGTAGAGACGGGGTTTCACCATGTTGACCAGGATGGTCTTGATCTCTTGACCTCGTGATCCACCCGCCTCGGCCTCCCAAAGTGCTGGGATTACAGGCTTGAGCCACCGCGCCCGGCAACAACATTAAATCTTAAGGCCCAAGAATAATCTTTAGCTCGATGCTGTCTGTCAGGCCCACTAGGGTGAAGGTAGTCCTGCCCCTGCAGCTTTGCTGAGCAGGGATTTGGGGCCCCACAGCTCTGAGCATCCTTGTTCCTACAACTTGGCAAAATGGCCCTCCATCAGCTGTCTATTCTTCATTCACAGCATCACTGTGTCTGGGAACCATGGCTCTCCTGGGCTGAGGTCATAAGCTCAGGGCTCTACCAGGAGGCTCCTTCCTTTAAAACCCAGGTGGAGCCTGCCATTACCCCTGGCTTGTGCATGTTGCATCCTGGAGGAAATCTAACCCTCCAGAAGGGTGATCACTGCAGCCTCTGCCACACCTGACACAATGAGGCTACACCTGAGGCAACTGATGAACACAGCCCACAACATGAGTTCATGCTGGGCAGTGTGGCCCAAGGTCCCACAGACTCCTGTGGCCCTTACACTGCATTCTTTCTTTGTCTTGAACGTCTTGAACGTCTTGCACATCTTGAACAATAGCTTCTGGCTGCAGTTGAGACTGTTGACTAATCTCCTTATCAGAAGGTCATTTGGCCACACCCTTTAAGTTTGTTCCCAAACAGCTTTTCTCACTCTTTACAATATGGATAGGCTTACAATTTTTCAAACATTTAAATTCTGCTTCATTTTTGATTAGCAACTTTTTTTTTGAGACGGAGTTTCGCTCTTGTTGCCCAGGCTGGAGTGCAATGGCGCAATCTCAGCTCACCGCAACCTCCACCTCCTGGGTTCAGGCAATTCTCCTGCCTCAGCTTCCTGAGTAGCTGGGATTACAGGCATACACCACCATGCCCAGCTGATTTTTTTGTATTTTTAGTAAAGATGGTCTCCATCTCTTGACCTCGTGATCCACCCGCCTCGGCCTCCCAAAGTGCTGGGATTACAGGCTTGAGCCACCGCGCCCAGCCAATTGGCAATTTCTTTAAGTCATTTTTCTCTTCCCATGTTTTGCTATATACAGTCAAGAGACGCCAAGCCATATCTTCAACACTTTTCTTAAATAATTCCTCAGTCAAAGATTCAACTTCATTCCTTTTAAGTTCTATCCTTCACAAAACACTAGGGCAGGAATACAATTCAGCCAAATTCTTTGCCTCTTTAAAATAAGAATGACATTTACTCCACTGTGCAATGCAATAACATTGTAGTATTGTAAAATATATATTTAGTCTTTGTCTCTATTGTGGTATTTTTTTTTTTTTTTTTTTTTTTTTTTGGAGATGGAGTCTCTCTTTGTCGCCCAGGCTGGAGAGCAGTGGCATGATCTTGGCTCACTGCAACCTCCACCTCCCAGGTTGAAGTGATTCTTCTCCCTCAGCCTCCCAAGTAGCTGGGATTACATGTGCATACCACCATGCCCAGCTAATGTTTTTGTATTTTTAGTAGAGATGGGTTTCATCATGTTAGCCAGGATGGTCTTGATCTCCTGACCTCATGATCCACCCACCTGGGCCTCCCAAAGTTCTAGGATTACAGGTGTGATGTGGTATCTTTTTATACCCATGAGTTGACTGATGGCTGGCAGCCCCTCAGTAACATCAGGATGGAGGGTTAGGACTTTCTGCACCACCCCTCAAAACTCTGGGGAGGAAAGAACAACTGAGAGTTAAGCTGGTCACCAATGGCGAATGACTTGATTAATCCTACCTACATAATGAAGCTTCCATAAAACCCCAAAAGGACTGGGTTTGGGTAGCTTCAAGATAGTTGAACACAGGCAAGTTGCCACAGAGTACCATGTCCAGAGATGGCATGGAAGCTCCATGCTCCTTCCACCATGACTTGCCCTAGGCATCTCTTCCATTTGGCTGTTCATCTGTATCTTCTATAATGTCTTTTTTCTTCTTATTGTTTGTGAGACAGGGTCTCACTCTGTTGTCCAGGCTGGAAGGCAGTGGCGCAATCATGGCTCACAGCAGCTCAACCTATCAGGCTCAATCAACCCTCCCACCCCAGCCTCCTGAGTATCTGAGACTACGGGCACACACCACTACACACAGAAGACTTTTGTATTTTTTTGTAGGGACAGGGTTTTGCTATATTGCGCAGGATGGTCTTGAACTCCTGGGCTCAAGTGATCCATCCTCTTCAGCTTCCCAAAGTGCTGGGATTACAGGTGTGAGCCACCATGCCCAGCTATGTATGCTCTGTAATATCTCTTACAACAAATGAGTAAATCAAAGTAAGTTTATCTCTGAGCTCTGTGAGCTGCTCTGGCAAATTAATCAAACCTGAGGAGGATGGGATCATGGAAACCCCTGATTTATAGCCAGTCAGTCAGAATACAGGTGGCAATCTATTACTGCCAACTGATATCTGAAACTGAAGTCAGGCATGTGAGACTGAGTGCTCAATCTGTGGGATCTGATGCTGCCTCCAAGTAGAAAGTGTCAGAACTGAAATGAATTAAGAGGACACCCAACTGGTGTCTGGGTGAGAATAATCTTCTGCAGAATCTGCCAAACAACTGGTTGCTGGTGAGAATAATTCCCCACACATTTTGGTAACCAGAGGTGCTACGTTGTATTGAGAAGTGAGAGAGTCTAGGAAAAACACTGATTGTTTCCTCTCTATCCTTAGAAACATGTTCTTTCTTTACATGTGACATCTATCAAAATGGCCATTACTGTGCATATTTCCACCAATATTCTTTTCAGAACTATTCAGGTATTCTCTAAGAAAATTGAGGCTTTCTCTACAGCTCTCTTTTAACCTCAGTTCCCACCAAAATTGCCTTTAAAGGTCTGCTCACAGCAAGTAGGCCTATGTATGCATTTCAAAATTCTTCTACCTACTACTGATTACCCAGTTCCAAAGGTGCTTCCACATTTTTTGGTATTTGTTATAGTACCACCTCGACTTCTCAGTACCAACTTTCTGTCATAGTCCATTCAGTCTCCTATAACAAAATACCACAGTCTGGGCAGTTTATAAAAACTAGAAATTTATTTCTCACAATTCTGGTAGCTAGAAGTCCAAGATTCAATGTCTACTGAGGACCCACTTCTTCATAGACAGTACCTTCTAGTTGTGTGCTCACATGATGGAAGGGGAGGACATTGGGTCTCTTCAGACATTTGTAAGGGCATAAATTTCATTTATGAAGTTCCCACACTCAGGACCTAATCACCTCTCAAAGGTCCCACCTCCTAATACCATCACAATAGGGAATAAATTTCAACGTATGGATTTTGGGAGACACAAATATTTAGTCCATAGCAGGAGATGCATGTATGGGGTCATTAAGCTATGTTTAATATTTTGCTTTTGTTATGAAGTTTAATCAACTAAAAACTAGATATGAGATTAAGGTTTACATATAACCACTAACTTCAGCAATTCAGATGCAAAAATCGAGTTCAAAATTCAAATCTTTAGGCCGGGTGCCATGGCTCAGGCCTGTAATACCAGCACTTTGGGAGGCTGAGGTGGGTGGATCTTGAGGTCAGGAGTTCAAGACCAGCCTGGCCAGCATGCTGAAACGCCATCCTACTAAAAATACAAAAATTAGCTGGGTATGGTGGTGGAGAGTAGATTTAGATGTAGATGTAATCCCATCTACTCTACTCAGGAGGCTGAGGCAGAAGAATCCCTTGACCGTGGGAGGCAGAGGTTGCAGTGAGCCAGGATGTCACCGCTGCACTCTAGCCTGGACAACAGAGTGAGACTCTGTCTCAAAAAAAAAACAACCAAAAAAATTTCAAATCTTTAAAAAATATTCTGTTCAATAAAACATAACTTTTAAAAAGTGGAAAATTTAATATGGTTTTAGAGTGGTTTCATCCTATTTCTTATGTCATGAACTTATTTTAAATAGTTGGAAATTATTTGGGGTTACTACAAATTTATTGAGTGACTTACCTCTTCTTTTCCTAATGTTAAGAGAACATCTTCAGTCAAAGGAATTACTACAAAAGTAAAACAAAACAAAACAAAATTATACATGTATTTAATTCCCAAAAATCAAGCATTTTGCAGTTTTCTAAAACTCTTTTCCTCTCTATTTATATAATATACAACTTTTTGTTTCCCCAAGACAGTTTCCCTCTGTCACCCAGGCTTCAGTGCAATGGTGCGATTTGGCTCACTGTAACCTCTGCCTCCCTGATTCAAGCAGTTCTCGTGCCTCAGCCGCCTGAGTAGCTGGGATTACAGGCCTGCACCACCGTGCCTGGATAATTTTTGTATTTTTAGTAGAGATGACAGTTTTGTCATCTTGGTCAGGCCAGTCTCAAACTTGTGACCTCAAGTGATTCACCTGCCTTGACAATACACAACTTTTAAGAAATGTGGGTAGTTTTTATTTTTATTTAATATCTTTGCACATATAGCCAACTATATATAATTTTAGAGAAATTTGACCCTATTTGTGTACCGTTTAGTGCCTTTTTCTTACCTTTTGTTCTTCAAATCCTCAAAAGCAAAGCTAATAATCTATAGTGTGTTCCTCAAATACTTTCCCTATAGTCATCTATCCTATGTACACATATATAACACACATATACACATACATATACTTAAAAGGGTTACTTTTATCATCATTGGTTTTACAAGAATGGGGTCATATCATACATATCACATTCATCTTACTTTCAGTCAATAAAACCCACAGGGAAACCTAGACCTATATAGGTCTAATTTGTAACTTTTAATGGCTACATAATATTCCAAAATGAATATACTGTAATATACTGAATGACTGTCCTATTGAACACTTTGATTTTAGACTTTGTGTCTAGTTTTTAGCCACAACAAACAAGGATGCAGTAAGCATACTTTTATATATGTTTTCATGTACTGGTGTTCTAATTTCTATAGAACAGATTTCCAGAAATAAAATTTCAGCAGATGAAACATGTACTTTGAATCTGAATAGAGAATGTCAGCTTTCTAAAGACATTCCCATGAGCTATGAAAAAAAAAAAAACAGCAAGAAATATAACAAACGCTTCTAAAATTTTTGCCAGCCTGATGAGTAGAAACAAATGTGTAATTTTGTATAGCAAATTTTAATGTGTTCAATCCTTACGCTATAAATTTTTCTATCCTAATGAAGTGTTATTTCAAATTTCAGAAATGATACGCTACTAAAAACTTTCAAAGGTATCTTTTCAAAGGTATCCAGAAAGCCTTCAAACAGGAAAGAAGTTTCTACATGTGCTTCGTAGATATGGTTGTATTAGAACTGGTTATAGGCAGCTAGTAAATTATTTCAAAGCTACTAAATTATTCAGTGCCTGGTAAGGGCTTGCTCTTTGCTTCCCAGATGGCGTCGTCTTGCTGTGTCCTCACATAGCAGAAGGCGAAACAGAAAAAAGACTAGACACTACCTTCAACCTCTATTATAAGGTCACTAATCACATCCTAAAGACCTCACTTTTTAACATTATCATACTGGTGATTAAGTTTTAACATGAGTTTTAGGGGGCATATTTAGGCCATGGTAGACAGCTATTATCAAAAAGGCAGAAAGTAACAAGTGTTGGTAAGGATATACAGAAACTGAAACCATGTGCACTGCTGGTGGGTTTGTAAAATGGTACAACCATTATGGAAAATAGTATGGTGGTTCCTCAAAAAACTTAAAACAGAACTATCATACGATCTGCTAATTTTATTTCTGGTAGACATCCAAAAGAATTGAAAGCAGGGCCTCAAAGAGATAACTGCACATCCGTGTTCATAGCAGCACTCACATTCACAGTAACGAAATGATAAAAGCAACCCAAGTTTCCATTGACAGATGAATGGATAAACAAACTGTGGTATATACATACAACCGAATACTATTTATCCTTAAAAAGAGAAGGAAATTCTGATATGTGCTACAACATGGAAGAACTATGAGGACATTACACTAAGTAAAATAACCCAGCCACAAAAACACAAATACTCTATGATTCCATTATATGAGGTATCTAAACCAATTAAATTAATAGAAAGTAGAATTGAGGCTGCCAGGGCTGGGAGCAGATGGAAAAGGAGATGCTGTTTAATGTGTATAGAGTTTCAGATTTCCAAGATGAAAAAGTTCTGAAGATAACACTGCACAAAAATGTGAATATACTTGACACTACTATGAACTATATACTTAAAAATGGTTAAAATTGTAAATTTTGTATTTTACCATGATCAAAAAAATTTTTTAAACTAAACAAAACCTCAGGGACTTGGGTAACTATAACAAAGGGTCTAATATTCATGCTATTGAAATTCCAAGAGAGGAGAAAGAAGGTGGGGAGAGTTGCTGAAAAAATATATCAAATCACAGCCAAAAAGTTCTCAAATTTTACGTAAGACATAAATCTACATATTCAAGAATGTGAGTGACTCCTAAATAAGATAAAGCCGAAGAAATCCATGCCAAGATACATCATAATTATTTTTCTAAAAGCTGAAGACAAAGAAAAAATATCCCCAAAGCAGCCGGGAAAAAAAAAAAAAAAAATCAATGCCTTCTCTATAAAGCAAAACCCATCAGAATGATAGCATATTTCTCATCAGTACCAACGGAGGCAGAGAGAAGTGGCACATTTTTTAAGTGCTAAAAGAAAACAACCCTGAATTGCATATCTAGTGAAAATATCCTTCAGGAATGAAAGGGAAATCAATAAATTCTTGGATAAAGAAAAACTAAGAAAATCTGTCGCCAGCAGACCAACTCTAAAAAGAACAGCTCAAAAGGGTTCTTGAAAGAGAAATAATAAAAGAGGGAATTTTAGAAGGTAAGAAAGGAAGAACAAACAATAGAAAGAATAAAAACATGGACTAAAGCTACCATAAATCCTACAGCCACAAAAAAATAAATTCTGCTAACAACTTCAGCAAGCTTGGATATGAATCCTTCCTCAGGCCTTTGAGGAGAATCTATCATTGCAGCCATGAAATCCCGAAAGAGAGGACACAGTTAAGCTGTGTCCAGACTCCTTCCTGCAGAAACTGTGAAATACTAAATGTCCTCAGACTCCTGACCTACAGAAATTGTGCGACAATGAATGTGTATTATATAAAGCCACTCCAAAAAGCCTAAACAAGATTGAGAAAATGTTGATAACTGTAGAATCTGGTCTCTGAGTTTACTGCAGTTAACCATGTATTTTTTGAAACTTTTAAGTTTGAAAACTTCCATAATTGGGGAGGTGGGGAAACCTACTGTGGTTAAGGATTAAAAAGACAATTATAACAATCTAATGGACTGGTAATGAAAACCCAAAGCAAATCTGTGGCTGCAGGACTCAATATTTGTTAACTAGCAATATGTTTTAGTTCTAATGTTTTTGTTTTTCTGTTTTTTTTTTTTTTTTTTTTTTTTGTTCCCCCCCTTCCTCCTTCACGAGACAGAATTTCTTGTTGCCCAGGCTGAAGTATAATGCAGCAATCTCAGCTCACTGCAACCTCTGCATCCCGGTTTCAAGAGATTCTCCTGTCTCAGAATTCCAAGTAGCTGGGATTTACAGGTACACACCACCACGCCTGGCTAATTTTTGCATTTTTAGTAGAGACAGGGTTTTACCATCTTGGCCAGGCTGGTCTCAAACTCCTAACCTCAGGTGATCTACCCACCTCAGCCTCCCAAAGTGCTGGGACTACAAAAGTGAGCCACTTTGGGAGTGGCTCATTTGTTCTAATTTTAACAAGTGTGCTATATGCAAAAAATTAAAAAGAATCTAAGAGGACTCTTAAATTGGTAGCTGATCAAATACACTTGATCAAATACACCATTCAATGAGCAAGGAAATATAAAAGGTCAATTCATAAATCTGAGGTGTCTATAAAATATTTTGGAAAAGATGCCTAGGAGATACAAAGATATTAGAGTCTGATATTGCAGAGAAGTCTGGTTTAAATATATAGATCTGTAAGTTGTTATTGGTTGATTTGTGTCCTCATCTCCAAATTTGTATGTTGAAATCCTAATCCCCAATACCTTTGAATATTACTGTATTTGGAACTGGGTATTTCAAGAGGTAATTAAGTTAAAATTAGGCCATTATGGTTGGCCTTAATCCAGTAACACTGGTGTCCTTATAAGAGATTAGGACGTAGAGGGAAGACCACGTGAAGACACAGAAGGAAGACGGACATCTGCAAGCCAAGGGAAGAGGCCTCAGAAGAAACCAACGTTACTGACACCTTGATCTTTAACAAGTATCTTCTAGAATTGTGAGAAAATTAATTTTTGTTATTTAAGCCACTTAGTCCATAGTAGTTTGTTATGATAGCCCTAGTAAACTAATATGGAAATTACTATCATAGATATAACAGATAAAAACTGGAGAAGATATAACGCTGGTATAGCATATAGGGTCCTCTGAAGAACATGAACACATGGAAGTTATTATTATTGTTCCATTTACAAAACACAGGCAGAGTAGATTTAGTATAATTCTTGCGGGCCCTAGGATTGCTGGAATGATAAATGAGCATTGGTTTTAACTCAGGGTCACCAGCTGCATTAGCCCTTATCACAAGTCAACCTGTCCTGTTATATAACACATAAAAAACAGCAGCAGAAGAGAATCACTTGAACCCAGGAGGTATAGGTTGTGGTGAGCCGAGATAGACCACTGCACTCCAGCCGGGGCAACAAGAGTGAAACTGTCTCAAAAACGAAACAAAACAAAACAAAAAAACAGGAACAGAAGATATAATGCTGGTATAGCTTATAGAACATGAATATTTTAATATTTGAGGCTGGGCACCATGGCTCACGCCTATAATCCTAACACTTTGGGAAGAGGACTCGGGTGGATCATTCGAGGTCAGGAGTTTAAGACCAGCCTGGCCAACATGGCAAAACTCCATCTCTACAACAAATACAAAAATTAGCCGGGCATGGTGGCAAGCACCTGTAATCCCAACTACTTGGGAGGCTGAGACAGGAGAATTGCTTGAACCTGGAAGGTGGAGGTTGCAGTGCGCCAAGATTGTGACACTGTATTCCAGCCTGGGTGACAGAATAAGACTCTGTCAAAAAAAAAAAAAAAAAAGGCCGGGCATAGTGGCTCATGCCTGTAATCCCAGCACTTTGGGAGGCCGAGGCAGGTGGATCACGAGGTCAAGAGATGGAGACCATCCTGGTCAACATGGTGAAACCCCGTCTCTACTAAAAATACAAAAGATTAGCTGGGCATGGTGGCACATGCCTGTAATCCCAGCTACTCAGAAGGCTGAGGCAGGAGAATTGCCCGAACCCAGAAGGCAGAGGTTGCGGTGAGCCGAGATCGTGCCATTGCACTCCAGCCTGGGTAACAAGAAGGAAACTCCCTCTCAAAAAAAAAAAAAGAGTATGAGCAGCTTTTGAGATGCTAACTATACTGCTGAAAAGGCAATAAGACATACAGTTGAGGGCAAATTAAAATCACAATTGTGTAATACACATGTATCAGAAATTCTCAAATTAATGACTAACAGGCAGTAGTAATGATGTGGAAAAATGGCTGATATTGGCATGAAGACAGTAATTAAAGCAAATTATGGATAAAACTGTCTAGGAAGAGAATGAGGAGAAAACAACTGCTCCTTGGGGAATTTCAATAATTAGGACAGAGAATAATAAGCCTACAAAGGAGACTAAGAAGGGAAGCATGAGATGGAGGACAGTTAAAGGAAACAGTGGGAGAAGAAAGCAGCAGGGAGAGATACAGAAAAAGAGGGTGCATTCCAAATACGCAGGGACACTTTGGAGATAGTCTAAGTTTAGTTCTAGACCACCACACTAAAGCAAGCATCATAACAAAGTGAGTCACACAATTTTTTTGTTTTCCCAGTACACACACAAGTTTTGTTTATATTTGCTGTAGTCTATAATAAACTATGTATTAGCATTGTTTCTAAAAACGTATATACCTTATTTAAAAAGAAAAAACCTATCACTAAAAAATGCTAACTGAGATGCCTAATCTCAGCCTTAGGGGAGTTGTAATTTTTTCTGGTGTAAGGTCTTGTCTCAGTGTTAATGGTTGATAACTCGTCAGGATAGTGGTTGCTAAAGTTTGGAGTGGCTGTGGCCATTTCTTAAAATAAGACAACAATGAAGTTTGCCACGCAGACTGACTCTTCCTTTCACAAAAAGATTTCTCAGTAGCATGAGATGCTGTTTGATAGCATTTTACCCACAGCAGAACTTCTTTCAGAATTAGTCACTCCTCTCAAACTGTGACATTGCCTTACCAACAAAGTTTATGTAATACTCTAAATCTGGTGCTGTCGTTTCAACCATGTTCAAAACATCTTCACCAGGACTAGATTCCATCTCAAGAAACCACTTTTTTTTGCTCATCCATGGGAAGCAACTCTTCATCTGTTCAAGTTTTATCATGAGATTGCAATGATTCAGTCATATCTTCAGGCTCTACTTTTTTTTTTTTTTTTTTTTTTTTTTTGAGACAGAGTTTCACTCTTGTTACCCAGGCTGGAGTGCAACAGTGCGATCTCGGCTCAACGCAACCTCCGCCAGGCTCAACGCAACCTCCGCCTCCTGGCTTCAGGCAATTCTCCTGCCTCAACCTCCTGAGTAGCTGGGATTACAGGCATGTGCCACCATGCCCAGCTAATGTTTTGTATTTTTAGTAGAGACGGGGTTTCACCATGTTGACCAGGATGGTCTCGATCTCTTGACCTCGTGATCCACCCACCTCGGCCTCCCAAAGTGCTGGGTAGGCTTGCGCCACCGCGCCCGGCCTCAGGCCCTACTTTTAATTCTAGTTTTCTTGATACTTCTACCACATTTGTAGTTACTTGGAAGTAATCCATGAGGGTTAGAACCAACCTCTTGCACACTCCTGTTAATGCTGGTATTCTGACCTCCCATGAATCACACATGTTATTATGCATCTAGAATGGTGAAGACTTTCCAGGTTTTCAATGTACTTTGCCCAGATCCATCAGAGGACTTATGGCAGCTACAGCCTTACAAAGTGTATTTCTTAAATAGTAAGACTTCAGTTGAGATGGCTTCTTGGTCCCTGGGCTGCAGAACACATGTTGTATCAACAAACATGAAAACATTAATTTCCTTGTACATCACCATCAGAGCTCTTGAGTGCTAAGATAGGGGCAATAACATTTTGAAAGGAATCCTTTTTTTTTTTTTTTTTCCTGAGTGGCAGGTCTCAACCATGGGCTTAAACTATTCAGTAAACCATGCTGGATTAGTAAACAGGTGTACTGTCATCCAGGCTTTATTGTTCCATTTACAAAACACAGGTAGAGTAGATTTAGTATAATTCTTACAAGTCCTAGGATTGTTGGAATGATAAACGAACACTGGTTTTAACTCAGGGTTACCAGCTGCATTAGCCCTTATCACAAGTCAACCTGTCCTTCTGAAGCTTTGGAGCAAAGCATCCACTTCTCTCTAGCTATGAGAGCCCTAGATGGCATCTTCTTAAAATAGAAGGCTGTTTTGTCTACACTGAAAATTTGCTGTTTAGCATAGCCACCTTCAATTATCTTAGCTAGATCTTTTGGAAGGCTTGTTGCAGCTTCTGCTTCAGTACTCCCTTGCACTTTTATGTTATGGAAATGACTTCTTTCCATAGACCTCATGATGCAACCTCTACCAGCTTCACACTTTTCTTCTGCAGCTTCCTCACCTCTCTTAGCCTTCATAGAACTGAAAAGAGCTAGGGCTTTGTTGTGGATTAGGTTTTGGCTTAGGTAATGGCGTGGCTGGTCTGATCATCTAAGCAGACCTCCGTATCAGCAATAAGGCTGTTCTGCTTTCTCATAATTTGTGTGTTGGCTAGAGCAACACTTTTAATTTCCTTTAAAAATTTTTCCTGCACTTTGGGAGGTGGAGGAGGGCAGATCACATGGTCAGGAGTTCAAGAACATCCTGTCCAACATGGTGAAGCCCTGTCTCTGCTAAAAAAAAAAAAAAAAATACAAAAATTAGCTGGGTGTGGTGACATGCTGCTACTCTGGAGATTGAGGCAGGAGAATTGCTTGAACCTGGAAGGTGAAGACCGCAGTGAGCCAAGATTGCACCACTGCACTCCAGCCTGACAACAGAGCAAGACTCTATCATAGAAAAAAAATTTTTTTTTCCTTTCCATTCACAACTTGGCTAACTGGCACCAGAGGCCTAACTTTTGACCTGTCATGACTTCTGACATGCCTTCCTCATGAAGCTTAATCATTTCTAGTTTTTGATTTAAAGTTAAAGATGTACAACTCTTCTTTTCATGTAAAAACTCAGAAACGGGCTGGGTGCAGTGGCTCATGCCTGTAATCCCAGCACTTTGGAAGGCCGAGGCAGGTGGATCACGAGGTCAGGAGTTCAAAACCAGCCTGGCCAAGATGGTGAAACCCCATCTCTACTAAAAATACAAAGTTAGCCAAGCATGGTGGCACACGCCTGTAATCCCAGCTATTTGGGAGGCTGAGGCAGGAGAATTGCTTGAATCTGGGAGGCAAAGGTTGTAGTGAGCCGAGATTGCGCCAATGCACTCCACCCTAGGTGACATAGTGAGATTCTGTCTTAAAAAAAAAAAAACAAAAACTCAGAAACAATTGGAGGGTTATTAATCGGCCTAATTTCACTATTCCTGTGTCTTAAGGAAAAGGGAGGGCCAAGGAGAAGGAGAGTGATGGGGAAACAATTGGTCAGTGGAGCAGTCAGAATACCCACAACATTTATTGATTAAGTTTACTGTCTTATATAGGTGCAGCTTGTGGTTCCTCAAAACAATTAAAATAGCTCAACGACCACTGATCACAGATCCTCCTAAAAGATGTAATAATAACTTGAGTCTGAAATACTGTGAGATTACCAAAATGTGACACAGGTTCACCACAAACTGAATTTGTTAAACATAAAGTATCTGCAAAGTGCAATAAAGTGAAGCACAATAAAATGAAGTGTACCTGTATAGACATACATTGCATAAACCTAAGCTTTCATAATAAAAAAAAAAAGATGTACTAGTTGAATATCACAACTATACATTTTTATGCTGTCTTCTATTTCCTAACTGAAGACAAAAATATAGTTGGCACCAGTTGGACAAGACAGAAGACATCATACAAACTATGTGGCCATTTTGTGTAAGTATCTAAAATAAGCTAACTTTACCATTTTTCTCTTCCACTAGGTAAATTTCATTAATTAAGAAACCATTTACTGGCACACTTGTAATCCTGACATGTTGGGAGGCCAAGGCAGGAGGATCCCTTGAGCCCAGAAGTTCAAGACTAGCCTGGGTAACATGGTGAAACCCCATCTCTACAAAAAAATACAAAAATTAACCGGGCATGGTGGTGCACACCTGTAGTCCTAGCTACTCAGGAGGCTGAGGTGGGAGGATCACTTGAACCCAGGAGATCGAGGCTGCAATGAGTCATGACCGTGCATTCCAGCCTGGGCAACAGAGTGAGACTCTGTATCAGAAAAAAAAAAAGGGAACAATTAACCATTTCTAGTGAGCATTTAAGGCAGCATCTATGAGGATAACATAATGGCTATAATAACGTCTCCGTAATCAAGCTTATTATAATCTAATGTAAGATATGTTTATCAATAATAATAAAAGAAGCACAAAATAATTCATAGAAAAGAAAAAAACTGAGTGACTTCCCAGTATCAATGAAATTTGGGCAATCTCGAGAAGGCCAACTGGAGCTTGTAATTTTTCTTACAATCATTAAATTAATTTGCCATTAATTTGTTTATAAAAAAATCTAAAAATAAGAATCTTACTTTCAGGTGTTTTTTTCTGCCATTGACTGAGTTCAGCAGTTAAACATTTTACTTGCATAATTAATAATGATAGCTATAAAAGAAGAAAACAAAGTCATTTTCTGTGGAATATTCATAGATGAAAATATAAACATTCTTAACACTTTAATACTTGGAGGGCTGGCATCCCTAACTCTCACGTTGTTCAAGAGGCAACTTCATTTTAATTCTTAATCTGTTCTTCCACAGATCCACTCCGAAGTCAATTCCATAAGTCTCTGATTATTAAAATAGATATCTTTTTTTTTTTTTTTTTTTTTTTTTTGAGACGGAGTTTCGCTCTTGTTACCCAGGCTGGAGTGCAATGGCGCGATCTCGGCTCACCGCAACCTCTGCCTCCTGGGTTCAGGCAATTCTCCTGCCTCAGCCTCCTGAGTAGCTGGGATTACAGGCATGCGCCACCATGCCCAGCTAATTTTTTGTATTTTTAGTAGAGACGGGGTTTCACTATGTTGACCAGGATGGTCTCAATCTCTTGACCTCGTGATCCACCCGCCTCAGCCTCCCAAAGTGCTGGGATTACAGGCTTGAGCCACCACGCCCGGCCTTAAAATAGATATCTTAATCCTTTTCTTAAGCTAAGAGTAAAATCAACTCAGATTTGACACAGATAGTAAAACATCTGTGACTATTATACCTAACACAAAGTTAGCAGTATTTGTTCTAATGTATATATATATATTTTTTTTTGAGATGGTTTGCTCTTTCACCCACATTGGAGTGTAGCGGCACAAATCTCAGCTTATTGTAGCCTCTGCCTCCTAGGTTCAAGTGATTCTCATACCTCAGCCTCCTGAGTAGCTGGGATCATAGAAGCACACCACCAAGACCAGTGAATTTTTTTGGATTTTTGTTAAAGATGGGATTTTGCCATGTTGACCAGGCTGGTCTTTGTTCTAATTTTAACGAGGTAGCGTAACAGCAACCAACAAGCAATTTACTCAGTTGTTAAACATATGTATCACTGTTAAAAGACAAAAAATAAAGAAAATACTCTCTGCTGGGCATGGTGGCTCTCACCTGTAATCCCAGCACTTTGGAAGGCCGAGGAGGGTGGATTACGAGGTCAGCAGTTCGGGACCAGCCTGACCAACATGGTGAAACCCATCTCTACTAAAAATGCAACAAAAAATTGCTGGGTGTGGTGCCAAGCACCTATAATCCCAGCTACTTGGGAGGCTGAGGCAGGGGAATTGCTTGAACCAGGGAGGTGGAGGTTGCAGTGAGCCGAGATCATACCATTGCACTCCAGGCTGGGTGACAGAGCAAGACTCCATCTCAAAAAAAAAAAAAAAGAAAGAAAGAAAAACAAAAAAGAAAATACTCTCTTATTTTATATTAGCTTGTTCTATAAAGTTTTTAGAATATTATTCCAACTCTTAAAGCAGAAAGAATAAGAAGTTTTCCAAATGATTGAACATACAGGTATTAACAAAGCTATTTAAACTTGAGAAAAATAAAGACACATATACTTACTGTCCAAAATACAATGAAGGCCACTTACCTATTTTTTAGGAAGAAAAAGAAGATTCATACCTTAGCATTTACATCAGTGAGTGTTTCAGTTCCAGTAAGTGATAATTTATTCTGACACTTGATTTAAAAAGTAAAAAAAAAAAGCAAATCACACACTATAACTCATAGACAATTCCCTTCCCCTTTCCTTTTGTACCAGGCCAATATAACACTCTTTCAAAGCAGAAACATCTAATAGAGAAGAGTTTATTGAAATTTCTGACTTTCTAAGTAAGAGGATTAACGCAGCCAAACAAGTCCCAAGGTGAATACATCACAAGGAAAAAGAAACACTAGAATGAAGAGGAAAAAAAAAAAAAAACTAATAGCTAAAATGAATCATAAGCCAGATAACTGGAAAGTGGGAGATAAGAGAACAAGAGGGAAAGCAATATAGAAAAATAACAAGATAGTTTTCTAAGAAATCCTAAGAAAATAAAGCCTTCAGGAGACAGTGTTTCTTTGCTATTAAGAAAGTCCAAAACTGTTCATGATGATTACATATGAGATAAAAATATGATTAAATTCTATTTCTGCTCATTTGTAGTACAGCATTTCTCTATAAAAATTTTAAGCTATTTTTAAATCCAAACTTCTGTACTACTAAAAAATATCTGAAGAAAAAAAATGGTAGGGGATTATAAAAATTAGCTTAAAAATACATTAAGTACCAAGTATTTATATTAAAAATAATTTTAAGAAAAGAGAAAAACCTGGGATCATAGGAGCACACCACCAAGACCAACTAATGTTTTTGGATTTTTGTTAAAGATGGGGTTTTGTCATGTTGGCCAGGCTGCTCTTTGCTCTAATTTTAACAAGGTAGCATGATGGCAACCAACAAGCAATTTACTCTGTTGTTCAATGTATGGATAGCTGTTAAAAGACAAATAATAAAGAAAATGCTCTCTTATTTTATAAAAGCTTGTTCCAGAAATGTCACTTCCATACTTATAATCCTTTAGTAGCTCCCCACAGTACACACTCAACAAAATCCTTTATGTTCTGGCATCTGATTACTTCTCCAGTCTTATCACGGAAGTCTTTTTCCTAATTTACATTATCCATAATATTCTATTTAGTGTTCTGTCAACTCTCTCAGTTTTTACACATTTTCTTATAATAACTATCACTTCTATCTTTTGATACTAATTTGCCCAATTCTGAAACTTTACCGGGAAGAATAGGATGCTAAAAATATCTGTGCCCTATCTTTTGGCTTCCCTGGGCTATACTGGAAGAATTATCTTGGGTCACACATAAAATACACTAACACTTACAATAGCTGATGAGCTAAAAAAAAAAAAAATTCTTAATACTTTAAGAAAGTTTATGAATTTGTGTTGGGCCGCACACAAGGCCATCCTGGGCCGCGGCTGGACAGGTTTGCTTTAAGTACAACAAATTTTCACCAATATACTCTAGTATACCAAACGCAGTTCTAGCTCATCAACTCAGAAACAGTACACACATTTCAAACAACATTATCTAAATTAACTCATGTTTTTACTCATAATTATGTGTTCTTCCTACTTCTATATTCTCTATTTGGGGAAATAATCCCATCAAACACCCAATGGCCCAAACCAGGAACCTGAAACTAACAATATATCCCTCCCATTGAACATCGATTAACTTCTAAGTCCTTCTAAGTCCTACCTACTTATCTCTTGACCCCACTGTTCTATTTGCAATGACAATACTTGGGACTTTCTTACTTTTTACCAGGACTATTACTAGAGCTTCCTAAATGCTCTTTCTACCTGCAATCTTAATCTTCTGCATTCCATTTTCTTCAAAGACACCAGAGAAATTTTCTCAAACTGCTTATCTGATCATGTAACTTCCATACTTATAATCCTTAAGTGGCTCCCCATAGTACACACTCAACAAAATCCTTTACTTTCTGGCCCCCGATTACTTCTCCAGTCTTACACCAGGAGTCCTTCTCCTAATTTACATTATCCATAATATTCTGTTTAGTGTTCTGTCAAGTCTCTCAGCTTTTACACATTTTCTTCTTTATGCTTTGTATACCTCTCCTGCTTTTTACAGGTTAACTCCTAATTATCCTTTAAAAATAAAATCAGTAATTCACTCTTTTAGAAAGTTATCCTTGACCCCTTCACCTTTAGTACTCCTCCTAAGTATAGTCTTTGTACTTATGTCTAATATCGTACTACAACATAATATAATGGCTGTTGTTTCCATAAGATGGTAATCTCCTTGGAGGCAGGGATTGCCATCAGTTTTCCTTCTATAGCTCATCTAGCATAAAGTTTCTTGAAAAAATGCTTATAGGTCTAAAAGCATAGAAATATTTATCACATATAATGGCATTTGGGAACTAGCACAATCATTTCTTTCCTGAGTCTATTTATTATTGAAATTGATTTAAATCTTACAGTAACCATCACTTCTATCTTTTGATACTTACTTCTTCCATATCTTTCCACATTTCTTCACATTCTCTAATAAGTTCTTCTTCAGTATTTGTAACATCTCCCACATCAGTAGTACTATCTGGATCTAGATCTTGCTGATTCATTGATATGTGCTTTGTGATGCTTTAGCCTTATAACAAGAAAAACTAAAGCAAAAAATATTTTTTCATTCAGCAGTATTTGTTGAACATTTATTATCAGCCAGATACTCATCTAGGGGCTAAGAATATAGCAGTGAACAAAATAGACAAAAATCCCTTGTACTGTAAACCTTATTCTAATTAAGGAAAACAGACAATAAAACAAAAAATAAAACACATACATATATACTACAGTATATCAAATGATTTGGAGAAAAGACTGAGAAGAAACATAGGGAATGCTAGGGCAAGGGCAATATAATTTTAAATAATGAGGTCATATAAGGTTACTGAGAAATTCACAACTGAGTAAGAAGACATGAAGGAGATAAAGAAATGAGGTACAGGAATGAACAGGGACAGATGGTGCAGGCAGAGGGAACTGCAAGTACAAAAGCCTTGAGGCAGGAACATGAACGCCATATTTCCATAGTAGTGAAGCAGCTGGTGTGACTAGAGCAGATTAAGTAAGACAGAGTAGAATATGAGGTAACAGAGACAATAGGGTTGAGATCACGTGGGTTTCGTAGACTACTTTAAGAACTCTGAGATGATAAGCAATTAATTTTAAATAGAGGAATGACAACATTTAAATTACATTTTAACAGTACAACTCTGGTTAACTACAGGCAGCAGGGATAGAAGCAGGAAAATCAGTTAGAAAGCTACTGCAATAACCCAAGGAAGATGTAGACCAGGATAATATTGCTAGAAGCAGCACAGAATATCCAATTCTGAATATATTTTCAAGATGGAGCCAACAGAATTTCTTAACAGCGTGTATATGGACTATAAAAGAGGGAAGTGAATTATTAAGTTGCCAGTTACTGAGGTGAGAGAGATGGTAAAAGAAAAAAATTTGGCAAACATGGGAGAAGAGATTAAAAACTCAGTTTAGCTATACTACAAGACTACAGTAATCAAAACAGCATGGTACTGGTACCAAAACAGAGAGATAGACCAATGGAACAGAACAGAGGTCTCAAAGGCAACACCACACATCTACAACCATTCGATCTTTGGACAAACCTGACAAAAACAACCAATGGGGAAAGCAGTCCCTGTTTAATAAATGGTGTTGGGAAAACTGGCTAGCCATGGGCAGAAAGCAGAAATTGGACACCTTCCTGACACCTTACACTAAAATTAACTCCAGATGGATTAAAGACTTAAACATAAGACCTAACACCATAAAAACTCTAGAACACCTAGGCAAAACCATTCAGGATGTAGGCTGCCAACTTCATGACCAAAACACCAAGAGGATTGGCAACAAAAGCCAGAATAGACAAATGGGACCTAATCAAACTCCACAGCTTCTGCACAGCAAAAGAAACAGTCATTAGAGTGAATCGGCAACGAACAGAATGGGAAAAAATTTTTGCAGTCTACCCATCTGACAAGGGGCTGATATCCAGAATTTACAAAGAACTAAAACAGATTTACAAGAAAAAAACAAGCCCATTCAAAAGTGGGCAAAGAACATGAACAGACACTTTACAAAGAAGACATACATGAGGCCAATGAACGTATGAAAAAATGCTCATCATCACTGGTCAGAGAAATGCAAATCAAAACTACATTGAGATACCATCTCACGCCAGTTAGAATGGCAATCTTTAAAAAATCTGGAGACAACAGATGCTGGAGAGAATGTGGAGAAATAGGAACACTTTTACACTGTTGGTGGGAGTGTAAATTAGTTCAACCACTGTGGAAGACAGTGTGGCGATTCCTCAAGGACCTAGACATAGAAATTCCATTTGACCCAGTAATCCCATTACTGGGTATATATCCAAAGGATTATACATCGTTCTACTATAAGGACACATGCACACGAATGTTCATTGCAGCACTGTTTACAACAGCAAAGACGTGGAACCAACCCAAATGCCCATTGATGACAGACTGGACAGGGAAAATGTGGCACATACACACCATGGAATATTATGCAGCCATCAAAAACGATGAGTTCGTGTCCTTTGTAGGGACATGAATGAACCTGGAAACCATCATTTTCAGCAAACTGACACAAGAACAGAAAATTAAACACATGTTCTCACTCATAGGTGGGTGTCGAACAATGAGAACACATGGACACAGGGAGGGGAACATCACACACTGGGGTCTGTAGGGGGGAAATAGGGGAGGGACAGCAGGGGGTGGGGGGTTGGGGAGACATAGCATGGGAAGAAATGCCAGATACAGGTGATGAGGAGGAAGGCAGCACATCACACTGCCATGTGTGTACCTATGCAACAATCTTGCATGGTCTTCACATGTACCCCAAAACCTAAAATGCAATAAAAAAAATTGATGAAAAAAAACACTCAGTTTAGGATATGCTAAATTTGAGGTGTCAATTATTGGAGCTGCTGATTAAGCAATTAGATATACATCTCTATAGTTCAAAGTTTTGAGCTAGAGATATGAATTTGACAGCCATCATCACACAGATAATGACATCACTACATAATGACATTGTGGTCATAGACTGCACATATAACAGTGGTTCCAATGGAGCTGAAAAATTCCTATTGCCTACTGATGTCTTCAGGATTCTGACTCTGCTTAAGCCTAGGGTAATGTGTTTGTGTCTTCATTCTTAACAAAAAGGTAGCCGGGCGCGGTGGCTCAAGCCTGTAATCCCAGCACTTTGGGAGGCCGAGGCGGGTGGATCACGAGGTCGAGAGATCGAGACCAACCTGGTCAACATGGTGAAACCCCGTCTCTACTAAAAATACAAAAAATTAGCTGGGCATGGTGGCGCGTGCCTGTAATCCCAGCTACTTAGGAGGCTGAGGCAGGAGAATTGCCTGAACCCAGGAGGCGGAGGTTGCGGTGAGCCGAGATCGCGCCATTGCACTCCAGCCTGGGTAACAAGAGTGAAACTCCGTCTCAAAAAAAAAAAAAAAAAAAAAAAAAGAACAAAAAGGTTTAAAAAGTAAAAAATAAAAATAAATTGGCTAGAAAAAAAGACATAAAGAAAATATGCCAGGTGCAATGATTCACCCTGTAATCACAACACTTTGGGAGGCCAAGGTGGTAGGATTACTTACTTGAGTCCAGGAGTTTCAGAACAGCCTGGCAACATAGCGAGACCTACATCACTATAAAAAATTTAAAAATCAGCTGGGTGAGGTGGCACACTCCTGTAGCCCTAGCTGCTCAGGAGGTCGGGGCAGGAAGATTGCTTGAGCCCAGGAGTTCAAGGTTATAGTGAGCTATGATTATACCACTGCATTTCAGCCTGGGTGACAGAGACAAACTGTCTGTAAATTAAAAAAAAAAAAAAAGAAAGAGCCGGACGCAGTGGCTCACGCCTGTAATCCCAGCACTTTGGGAGGCCGAGGCGGGTGGATCACGAGGTCAAGAGACCGAGACCATCCCGGTCAACATGGTGAAACCCTGTGTCTACTAAAAATACAAAAAAATTAGCTGGGCATGGTGGCACGTGCCTGTAATCCCAGCTACTCAGGAGGCTGAGGCAGGAGAATTGCCTGAACCCAGGAGGCAGGGGTTGCAGTGAGCTGAGACTGTGCGATTGCACTCCGGCCTGGGTAACAATAGCAAAACTCCGTCTCAAAAAAAAAAAAAAAAAAAAAGAGAAAAGAGAAAGAAAGAAAGAAAGAAAATATTGTTGTATAGACAATGTTTGTGTTTTAAGCTGTTTATTACAAGAGTTGAAAAGTTAAAAAAAATTAAAAGGATAAAGCAAGTTACAGCAAGCTAAGGGTTATTTATCATTGAATAATTAAAAAAAATAAATTTAGTATAGCCTAACTATACAGTATTTACAAAGTCTACAGTAGAGTATAGTAATGTCCTAGGCCTTCACATTGTCTCACTACTCACTGACTCATTTAGAGCAAACTCTAGTCCTGTAAGCTACATCCATGGTAAAAGCCCTACACAGGTGTTCCACTTTTTATCTTTCATACCATATTTTTACTGTACCTTTTCTATATTTAGAAATGTTTAAATACACAAATACCATTCTATTACAATTACCTACAGTATTTAGAATAGGTATGTAGTAGGTTATACCATTTAGGTTTCTGCTCACATGATGAAATCATCTAACAATGCATTTATCAACACATAGCCCCGTTAAGTAATACATGACTGTACTTACAGTTGTAAGGCTGGGTGAAATGAGAAAAGCAAGAGCGCGCAGCTAGGAATGGGAAGATCTTCAAACCAGGAGATATTGAGATGAGTAAGAACAAACGGAATAGTCTGACAAGGGTCACACAGTAAGTTAAGAGGAAAACTAAGCACATGATATCCAGAAATCCAAGAACGTATTCAAGGAAGGAATGATGAACTGTCAAATAGCGGAGACAGGTCAAGTAACTTACATAGAATTGACAATTTATTTAGAAATATGGATGAGCAAACTGTTTTTTCTAAAAACAGTTGCAGCAATATTTCAGGTTGCATTCCCCATCAAGAGGCAGAGTCTTTTTCCTCTCCCCTTGAAACTGACTGTGACTTTGTGTCTGTCTTTATAAACAGAATACAATGAAAATGACACCACATGACTTTCAAGACTAAGTCATAAAAGGTAATATAGCTAACTTCTGGCTTTTTCTTTCTTGGAACACTCACCCTTGCAACCCAGCCACCATGTTATGAGAAAGCCCAAACTAGCACAAAAGGAAGAGATCACATGGAGAAGTCCATGTGGAAACAAACTGAGGTTCCCAGACAAAATCTAGTATCAACTGTCAAACATAAACATGATCATTTCTGATGATTAAGCCCCTAGGCTTTGATGTTCTAGTCAAGGCTCCAGAAACTGCAGAGCAGAGAAGCTACCCCTGCTGTGTCCTGTGTGAATTTCTAATGCACAAAACCCATGAGCGTAATAAATAGTTGTTTTACACCTCTACATTCTGGGATAATTTATCACAACAATTTTATTGGAATTAACATACAAAAATGAAGGCCACAGGTAACCTTTATAGGAGTAGTTTTAGAAGAACAGTGAGAGTAAAAGCCTGATTGGAGTGGATTCAAGAGAGAATGGAAGGCAAGGAATTAAATATACTAAGAATATAAAATGTTTTCAAGAATTTTTTCTCTAGCCAGGCATGGCGGCACATGCCTGTAGTTCCAGCTACTCAGGAACTGAGGTGGGAGGATCACTTGAACCTGGTGAACCCAGGAGACTGAAGGTGCAGTGAGCCATGAACACACCAATGCACTCCAGCCTGGGTGATAAAGCAAGACCCTACTTAAAAAAAAAACCCACACACAATTTTTTTTTTAAAAGGAAAAGAGAGAAATACGGTTATTAGCTGGAGGGAGATACAGGGTTAAAAGAGACTTTTTTTAAAAAAAAGATGGGAGAAAATAAAGCATCTTTATATGGTACAGTAAAAGAAGGAAATGTTGCTAATATAAGAGAGAAAGGGGAGAAGAAAGAATGGGATCTAGTACATAAGAAGAGGGGTTGGCTTAAGATAAATGGACATGCAATTCATCCATTTTAATGAAAGGATCATCAGAATACCAAGAGTGTAGATGCAGGTAGGTAAGTAGACGTGTTGCTAGGAACCTGTAGAAATTGTATGCAGATTCTTTTTTCTCAATAAAATGGTAACTAAGGTCATCAGCTATGAATGAGGATGGGGAAAAAGAACTGCAAGTTTAAGAGCACAGGAAAAGAGATGTATAAAATATATATATATATATATATATATATATATATATATATATATATGGGAGAAGATAAAGTTATAGGATTACTCAGTAGTAGCATTACAGACTCATCTGAGATTAGGAGTCATGGGTTTAAAGTGAAACTGGAGCACAGCTGTTTGTTTGTTTTTTTTTTTGTTTTTTTTTTTTTTTTTGAGACGGAGTTTCGCTCTTGTTACCCAGGCTGGAGTGCAATGGCACGATCTCGGCTCACCGCAACCTCCGCCTCCTGGGTTCAGGCAATTCTCCTGCCTCAGCCTCCTGAGTAGCTGGGATTACAGGCACGTGCCACCATGCCCAGCTGATTTTTTGTATTTTTAGTAGAGACGGGGTTTCACCATGTTGACCAGGATGGTCTCGATCTCTTGACCTCGTGATCCACCCGCCTCGGCCTCCCAAAGTGCTGGGATTACAGGCTTGAGCCACCGCGCCCGGCTCAGCTGTTTGTTTTCTTCTATAGTGTAGCAGCACCAGGTGTAGACAGGGACAAAGTGAAAGAATGGCCATAGGAATAAGCAGCTAAGACAAGAGAGAGAACATAATCACTAGGGGAGAGAAGGTCAAGGGTGACAGTGAGCCAGGAGCTAAAAATCTTCAAGGAATGAGGATGAGTACAACAATCTCGCTAGATGATTCCTGCAAAGAATGACAAGAGGGTCAGGTCTGGTAGCAAGAGATTCAAAATTGGGCAATTTTAAGGAGGCAAACAGTACAATAAAGAATGATGAGAATGACTACCCCACATCAAATGCAAACCAGAACATCCCGCCTCAGTATTTTTATTCATATGTAACTTTTGCACTTTATACTGCTTAATCACTAACATTAACAGAGAAGTTCTAAAGCAGAACTAAATAAATGGAAAGATACAGTCATATTCATGCACTGGAAGACTCACATTGTAAAGATGTAAATTTGCCCCAAGTTTATCTACAGAATCTTAACCAAAATCCTGAAAGTTATTGTTTCTTTGTGGGACTTGACAAGCAAATTCTAAAATTTACATGGAAGTACAAAGGGCCAAAACTAGCCTACAATCCTCATAAAAAATAAGATGGGAGGCTGTAACACACACTATTATGGCAATGTAGAATTGGCATATAAATGGACAAACTGAGCATAGGAACACAATACAAAGCCTTTCTTGACTTTCTAGATTCACATACATATAGACACACGACATATGACAGAGATGACAATGCAAAGGAGAAAAAAAATCCAAATAAATACATATTTTACATATAATACTGCTTTTTAAAATGTATATTTTAGTTCATATAAATCTTTTTTTTAAACAAACTGGTATTTGGGGAGGAAAAAAAAAAGTCTAAATTCATACCTCAATCTTTACATCACTCCTCACTCCCTCAAAAAATCCAAAATAGAAATCATAAAAAATAGGAAAACACAAAAACCTTTAAAATCTTAGATTAGGAAACACCTCTCTAAGCAAAACTAAGTAAAATCTTGACATAATTTTTTTTTTTAATTCTGCATAGACAGCATCTCATCAACGAAGTTAAAATTTAAAACTCCAAAACTTAGGAGAAATACTTGTAACATATATGACAACCCAAGACCTAATTTCCTTAATGTGTAACAAGTGCCTATAAGAAGAAACCAAACAACTCACCATTAAAAAGCTAAAAAAAAAAAAAAAAAGAGATTACCAAAAAAGTCAGGATATCAATTACTTGTGGAGGAAGAATGGAAGGGAGAGAAAGGTTGTGGCTGGGATGGGCCAAATGGAGAGATTTCTGAGATGATTATCAAAGTTTTATTTCTTGACTAGTATGATGATAAGGGTGTTCACCTCATAATAATTCATAAACTTTGTATTTATTTTGTGTGGGCTTGTGTCTGCATTTGATTTTACAATAAAAAGGTAAACAACAAAAACAATTCCATAGAAACAAGCAAAGGACACAAATGAGGAATTCAAAGAAAAAACAACAAAACCTTTTAAATAGAAAACCTTTTAAGTAGAAAAAGTACATTCATAAGCTCATATATAATTTATGAAAATGCAAATTAAACAAGCATTAATTTTCAGACTGGCAATAATGTAAAATTTGATAAGAAATACTGGCAAGCATGTGAAATAAGAGACCTGCATTGTTGGTGGACCAACCACTTTGTATGATAACATCTATCAAAATTTTACATGCATTTATTTTGACCCTGAAATTCTCTTTCTTTTTTTTTTTTTTTGAGAGGGAGTTTCGCTCTTGTTACCCAGGCTGGAGTGCAATGGCACGATCTCGGCTCACTGCAACCTCTGCCTCCTGGGTTCAGGCAATTCTCCTGCCTCAGCCTCCTGAGTAGCTGGGATTACAGGCACGCGCCACCATGCCCAGCTAATTTTTTGTATTTTTAGTAGAGATGGGGTTTCACCATGTCGACCAGGATGGTCTCGATTGCTTGACCTCGTGATACACCCGCCTCGGCCTCCCAAAGTGCTGGGATTACAGGCTTAAGCCATCGCACCTGGCTCTGAAATTCTATTTCTAAGAATAATCCTAAACATAGATATGTCCGCATAAGTCTACACAACGACATTTACTGCCAAATTACTTAGAGAAAAAAAAGAAACTTAGAAGGTATGAACTCTGCAAACTGACTACATAGGTTTAAATCCCAGTTTTGATATTTAAAAGCTGTGAGACTTGGGCAAGTCACTCAAACTTTCTGTGCTATAATTTACTTTCCTATAAAATGAAGATAATATTACATACTTCCTAGGGTTGTTATGACAATTAAATGAACATATATATATGTGTGTGTGTATATATATATATATGAACTGTAGCTAGCATATAAAGAGCTTTATTGGTCTTAGCTGTTAACATTACTATTAACAATTTGAATGTCACCTAGAAGGCTGAACATCCCACCTGCTATACCCTAAGATACAGTTTAAGTTCACAAAGCCAAAATCAGTCATTATCAATTTTTAAGCAAAAAATTCAAACAAATATTCGTTTACTGACCACTAAAATACATTATCAATATGCAAAAGTAATGCAGAACTCTGCACATGTGGTGGGGGCAGAGGGTGGGGGATAGATACTCAACAAATTACCTGGCTTGGCAATTCAACGTGGCATCAAAATAAAAACATATAGAAATATTTAAGAGTTTGCTCTCTACCACTTGAGAATGCAAGATGTGAGCTGTATGCAACTTGGAAGAGGGCCATCAATAGAACCAGAAAATGCTGGCACCCAGATCTTAAATCTCCAGCCTCTAGACTTGTGGGAAATAAATTTCAGTTTATCTGTTTAAAACACACACACACACACACACACACACACACACACAGACTCTTACTTAACAGTTTATCCTTTTCCTACATTTTGTGTCTTTAAACCTATCTTCCTGGAAAGGGAACAAGTTAACTTTGTGAGGTCCCCAGTTAGGACTACAATACTTATTCATTAATTGAAGAACAACAACATCTCTTTATTTAGGGATAATACTACACTTAAAGAAACTCGCACCACTAATTGGGAAAAGATCAATATACATGAAATAAGCAAAAAGTACCCACATCATTCTAAAATGTTTCACTTATTCAACAAATATGTTAATGTGTGCCATTGGTCAGACACTGGCTATAGCTGTGTAGGTGAAAAAGTCTTTGTACTCATAGAGCTTCCATTCTCAGGGAGACAATATAAATAAATGGATAACTAAATATATGATATGATTTCAGGCAGTTAGAAGAGTGAAGTATACAACACTGTCTGCAAGTACTATCAGAATTCAGGATAGTGAAGGTTAGAGAAACCTGGAAGAAAGGAATTACTCCATAATAATGCTTAATAAATGTTAACTAGCTACAATGTTTTATTATTATCATCTTCATCCTCATTATTGCTATAGTCTCAGAAAGATGAGAAGATGTAAACATGAAGGCTAGGTTGCTGTGGAGGCGCTTTCAAGCATAAAAACGTAAGACTGGGAGGCAAGAACGAACAAGGGAAATTTGTGAGACACAAAAGAAAGTGGTCTCATGAGAGCAGAGAGCAGAGAAGAAATGAGACTGGCTAGAAGGAATGGTCAAATAACGGGAACCTTTGAAACAAAACAAAATAAAGTGCCTACTATGGGGGGCAGTTCCTTCCTTGTACGTGGTGCGTATCTCAAGGCAAAAGTAGGTAAGAGATTTACCACGAGGATTAGGTTGGTGCAAAAGTATCTGCGGTAAAAAAAAAAAAAAAAAAAAAAAAAAAAAGTGTTTCAGGGAGGTCATTTTGACAAGGTGTATTTAGTTCATCTTTTTAAAAGGGATTAAGATAATAAATTTTATGTTAGGTATTTTTTACCTAATTTTTTAAAAATGAAGAAGACAGATGAGAAGGAGAAACCGTTCAGATGTTTGTTAGGAGCTGAACTCCTATACCAGGAAGAAGACAGAAGGGTGATCCGTTCTGCCCTAGATCAGTTTGGTTACTTGAAGTAGCTGCTTTCCACCCCACCCCAAGAAACAGTAACAAGCACTCACCACCTTCTTCAGAGAGTGTGTGAGAGAATAAAAAAGGTCAGGAGAGAAAACGTGTTTAGTGCATTCGAAGGGAAACTCGCAAGTTAACCCGTTCCTTCTGTCTCCACCCCTCCATCCTTCTCTAGAAACTGGCGAGGTTCTGGAGCTGGCGTTGGCGTGCGGGAAGCAGTGGGGAACGGGGCACAAAGCCCGGCTTGCAAGTCAGATACCCAGTTCGCTGGCTAAGGGTTCTACCGTCGGGGCTAGAGCACGACCAGCTTCAACCGTTCCTTACGGAGCCCTCCCCTACCCACCTCCTTACCGCCACAGCGCCACAAACGCCAAGTCGCCTCCGCGCTGCGTAGTCGCGGCCCGCTAGCCCGGGACGTCTGCGCGCGCTGCATGCCCATTGGATCTGCTCCTGCCCACCCCGGCCAATCCCGAAACTCGCTCGGACGCTGACAGGAGACTGCGCCGCTGCTTTGGGATTGGTAGCCGAGTTGTGTGTCGCGCCTTTTCCGACGTGCGAACAACATGGCGGCGGAAAGTGGTTGCGACTTGCAGCACAGACGGAGAAGGCTCCGGGACCCGGAGGAATCGGAAAAAACAGAACTCAGCGAAAGAGAGCTGGCAGTGGCGGTGTCCCAAGAGAACGATGAGGAGAAGGAAGAGCGCTGGGTTGGGCCTTTACCTGTGGAGGCAACACTGGCCAAGAAGAGGAAAGGTAGCTGCAGACGTAGTACCAGGACGAATTGGAGTGCTGCGTCCGCGGAGTGGGAGGGTTAAGTTCAAGCCAGATCCGAAGTGGGATGGAGTTTTGTGTCCTCTGAACAGAGCGCCTTCCTCTCACTTCTGGCCACCCCATACTTGCATATCTTCCCGAAATAGTGATTTGAGCGTAGTACAGCGTCGTTTTGATAATATCTAACACTTTTGATCATTGATTTGTTATGACGCTAAAACTACCGTTTGTCTATACTTAATGTGCTTGCCCCTGTCGTTTACTCCCCACGGCAGCTGTATGAAGTTGGAATTTCGAGCTCTTGTTTAGGTATGGAAAAGGGTACTGGTTCTCTTTAAGGCTTTAGTTCTGGAGTGGTATTAACGCGTTAATGTGTCGCTGGGGCGCGAGAGGAAGGCGGTGCTTATTTCGAATCATAGTAGGTAAAGATGATTTCAACCCTGACTCTTCCACTAATAAATTTTCATATCTAGGGAAAGTTGACTTAAGCTTCCTAGATCACAGATTTATTTTTTCATCCAAAACCCGAAGTCTTTGTTTTTGAAATCATACTCTTGATACGATGGGCTGCAGCGTTGTGCCACTAACGAGAAATAATCACAAATTATCATATAAAAGGGGTGAGAAAAGCAGTAGATTAAGTTTTCTTGTTTTGCTGGGAAATGTTTTCCTTAAGTACTTAACACATTTAAAATGTGGTCTAAGCTCAAATCTTACCTCAGCACTTTACCTTACTTAAAACTCTTCAGGCCGGGCACGGTGGCTCAAGCCTGTAATCCCAGCACTTTGGGAGGCCGAGGCGGGTGGATCACGAGGTCAAGAGATCAAGACCATCCTGGTCAACAAGGTGAAACCCCGTCTCTACTAAAAATACAAAAAGTTAGCTGGGCATGGTGGCGCGTGCCTGTAATCCCAGCTACTCAGGAGGCTGAGGCAGGAGAATTGCCTGAACCCAGGAGGCGGAGGTTGCGGTGAGCCGAGATCGAGCCATTGCACTCCAGCCTGGGTAACAAGAGCGAAACTCCGTCTCAAAAAAAAAAAAAAAAAAAAAAAAAAACACTCTTCAGTAATTTCTCATTATTTTCATTAAAGCCCTAACTCCCTCACCTGGTATATAAAGCCCTTTATTATGTGATCCCTCCTTACCTTCTCAGTGCATCTTCCATTATCCTCCTCTGCTAACCCCTTGCTTGTACTCCACCCATTCTAAAATCACCCGAGAATGGGTAATGTGCTCTTTTTCCTCTAGATACCTACTCAGATACAGTGTTTCTACCGGGAATAATTTCCTTCACCCTTTCCCCTGAACTGACTTTTGTCCAACCTTTAGCACGTAGCTATCATATTCTCCGGGAAGCCTGTGACTTCTCCAGTCTGGACTGGATTTCTAAAGCACTTTGATCATAACTCTGAGGTAGTTATCTGTCAATACTGAATTTACAGGTAGCCATCAAATTTTATGGATCCAAATTTTGAAGAAGCTGTTTTTTTTAAACATTGTATATTGACACCCTTACAGTGCATTATCATTTTTACTTCCTGGTCCTCTTGTTAAATGTTTCCATAGCAACCATTTTATTTATGGCACTTGCCACAGTTTCTAATTGTATATTTATTCATGTGATTAATGTTTCCCTCCACTGCTAAGACTGTAAGCATGTACAGGATCATGCCGTTTTCGTTCCGTTGCTTGCTGTACAGTGCTTTGCCTGTAGCCGGTGCTCCCTAAGTGTTTATTTAATGAATGAATATTAAAGCATTTATGCTAGTCTTCAACTATTTTGTTGCATATGAATATTTTTGCACGTTCTTTTTTAATTAGACAAGTAGGGAGAAATGTAAAAATCCAGAGAGATTGAAATGCTGATATTAGTGTTACCAGACAAGTAACTGTCTTATAAACTTAATATAATTGAGACATATAAATTAGTAGGTGTGAAAACCTTTACTCTTAATCAGATGTTTAAGACAGCCAATAGTGTATTTAGTTTGAAGAAAAAAATTGAAACTAAAAAGCATTCATGAAACATTACAAAAATATTATTTAAAATGTTGTCTAAATGGACAAGTGTTTAACAATTTCAGCTTTCTAGAAATGGAGTCACCCCCATTAACATGTTTTTTGGACATTGGAGTGCCATTTATATTTTCAGAAAGACATGTTTATATGGTATCAACTTTAAACTGTCTCTTAAGGACAGGAACTTTGTTTTACTCTTCTTTATGCCTATGTAACCTATTTTGACATATTTTGTTCTTAATATTTGTCCACAAGTGAACTATCACACAGAAAAAGGAATCTGAGTCAGATACGATTAAATATATCTACATATTACAGAAAAACCCAAAATAACAATGACGTTGAAAAGATAGAGCTGTACTTCTTTTATGTGTAGAAGTACCAAGATAGACAGTCCAGGATTGGTGTGGAGGCTCCAGAAGTTCCTAGGCTCTCTCCAGCTTTCTGCCCTAACATAACTAAGGTACAGCCCTCATCTTCATTTCCCTGAGTGATTATTAAGATTACAGCAGTCATATCCCAGTTCCAAGCTGTAGGATTGAGGAAAGGAAGAAGAATACACTTTTTCAAGACTTCCTGTCACAAAACATTTCCACTTTTACTCAGCATATGGGTAAGCCTTCCTCCAGGGGAAGGTGAAAAAGGTCTTGTTATAGCTGGATATCAATATGCCCATATATAAATGGGGATTCTGTTCCTAAAAATGAAGGGAAAAGTAGTTTGTCAAACACGAGCCTGAAACAGCTCATCAAGTTTAATTTAGCAACTATTTTTAGGCTTGTTTAGCCATCATTGAATTATTTTATTTGGTATACATATAATTCATTCCTCCCCCTTCAGAGCTTCTCTGAAGAAGAGGGTACATTAATTAAGATACAAGTAATTGGTACCTGGTCTCTTTGGCACTAGAGGAGAAAATGTGGGCTAAGATACCCTAGGAATAGCAAAGGACCTTCAAAACAGATGAGTGGGATCTTGGAGAAGGGTAATAATAGTACAAGTT